AGTTACAAAAAGGAAACACTGAATTTACATTGCAATCTCGGTGGGACCGATTCGCTCTTTCAGTGAGACCGAAAAGTTACGAAAGGGAAACAGAGAGTTTGCAATCCCATCTCGGTGAGACCGAGATCCCTATCGGTAGAACCGAATTGCTAGGGTTTGGCAGTGGCTTATGACAAGTGAAACTCGGTGGCGCCGGATAGAAAGAACGGTATGACCGAGTTTGGCTTAGGGTTTAGGTCATAAGTGGATATGGGAAAGTAGTTGAGGGTTTTGGAGCATATCACTAAGCACATGAAGCAAGAGGCTCATTAAACAACACCTCATCCCTCCTTGATAGTATTGGCTTTTCCTAAAGACTCAATGTGATCTTGGATCACTAAAATATAAAATGAAGAGTCTTGAGCTTTTGAGCTTGAGCCAATCCTTTGTCCTTAGCATTTTGAGGGCTCCACTTTCACATCCATGCCATGCCAATCATTGAGCTTTCCTGAAATAATCATCTTGGAATAGCATTAGCTCAATGAGCTATATGTTGTTATGAATTACCAAAACCACCTAGGGATAGTTGCACTTTCAGGTTTCCCACGCGTGTACACTCCCGATGCCATGGCGAAATAACACGTAGCACTACGGCTATTTAAGCCACCCACTACCTCTGCCATCCCTCATCCATCTCCCATCCTCTGCCATCTGCCCTTCTTGCTCTTCGACCCCTTCTCCTTCTTCTGCACATCCCTCAATCATGCAGTATATTGAACCAACCTACCGCTTCCCACCCACTGTGTCGGAGAGGCTCTACCCTACCGGCGTGTACATTGAGCGCACTCTACGTGTGTGGGCGATATCAAGGTGGAGGACCGCAAGGAACTTCACCGAATTCTTCCTCGGGCCGGCTACCGCCACCTCCCGCGGGGATCTCCAACGATGTTCCGCGTCGAGGAGGTCATCCAAAACGGGGTGGTGGTTGCTCTCCTTGCCCACTTCACCGACACATTCAATGCCTTCTACTTCCTTGGCCGGGTGTTTTGGTGTGGCTGCGAGTTCATCGCTTTCACCATCCACAACATGTTCACGAAGTACACCAACATCTTCCCCACCGTGTCGTGCATGCACACTCTTTCGTACCCCATCGACAACGCCCCCGAGGAGCAGTGAAGGGCGCCCGGAGGAGCGAGGTGGAGAAGGTGGTGGCTAGGGTTCTAAACCCTCTATCTATTTTTCGAGTCTATGTTATGTTAAGATGTAATTGAACTATGTTGGAGATGCTATGGGCTTGTTGGCTCTTTTATAAGTTCTATTATTAAGTTTTCTATCAATTCTATTATTAAGTTCTTCCTAATTTGAACTATATGATCGTGGTATGGACTTGTTGGCCCTATCTACATATCTGTTGATTGTTTTCTTGGAGAGCTCGTTTTGTTAGTAATCACCTAGTACAAGCAACCACAACGAACCCTTCTCTTTTTTTACACAAGTCACAAATATGTAGCCACCTAGCTAGTGCATGCAGCCACAAAAATATAAAATATAAAACATATTGTTCAATTTATTTGTCGTAGAAAAACGGATGCACATGCGAGTGGATCGAAAAGGCTGAAACTAATCGTAAAAAAACGATGCTCTAAATCGAGGAGACAAGCGTGCGAGAAGAGAGGAACCAGCGGCAGCAACCATCGCTGCATCCGTGGCGGCTGGCGTGCACGAAAGCGGCTCGGTCAGTGCATCGTGGCGGCATGCATCAACACATGCAGGCTCGGTTGGTGCATCGTGGCGGCGCGCATCGACGCATGCAGGCAAGCTTGCTGGGTGGATGCATAGCAGGCTTCTTTTGTGGCGCGCACAGGCATTTAATTCAAGGAACGGTTCAACAAAACCACAGCCCAACGGTCGAACAGCGACACCACCCAACGCGTCCCCACTTGTCAGAGTTAACGGTCAAGTCATTGACCCGATGGCAATGTCTGTTGTGACCTGTTCTGAGGGTTACGGGCAAGGAAGTAGGGAAAACTGAGCAAAAATTAAGAGCACGGAGATGAATGAGTAGAGCTAAGGAACGAGGGGCACAGTTGTAAAAATCCCTAGATTTTATTGATAATGTCGTAGCGGTGCGGTTGTAGTTGTGGGGCTGTCCCAGCCAGTAGTGGGCCCTTTATTTTCCTCAGATTTCTATTGGGGTAACTTGTGGAAGTCGTCCATGGCATTCCATATCCCATGAGATAGAGCAAAAGAGAGATGATGAGAAAAGACGACATGACCTACGAAAATGTATGGCTGAAATAAAAGCTTGTCTTAATAAGGAGAGAAAGGGGATAGAGCGGTGAGTGGGGTCCACCAGATGCGCGTCGCCCACGTAAAAGGCGAAAAGCGAGTCATAATTATAGCCGGTTGAGGGCATGTACAATGGTGGCATATGGATACATATGCCTCATAACAAAAAGTAATTTGAGACATCTATATTTATTTTTTCTGTCCAATGCAAGCTATTACTAGTGGGCCTCATTAAGAAAATAGAAAATAAAAGACTCTAATACACATGCATTTCTACTTTTCATTCCAACATTTTCAGCTTTTGTCATCGGACCACACTTTTTTTGTTCAAGCACCCGCCTCCTGAAGAGAATCCCGTTTCCCTATCCGAACCTACTTTACGTCATATCCGATCCTACATGACATGCGAGGCATCACCTTGAGGCTATGCATTATACATGCCCTGACAAGAATCAATTTTTTTTCTTTATTTGATGACTTCGGCCCGACCGACAATGTGCACGTGGATTTTGGTATCGTTCATTTGATGATGTGCGTTGAAGTTACCCTCATGATAGAACACAACATCTATCAGCCAGAACTGCCAGAACCACGCGTCACACACAAACACACACACACACACACACACACACACACACACCAACAGTGCGAGAGGCGCCCCCTTGCTTGAGCGCGACTATGTGTCACTTGGTGCGAGACCGAACAAGGTCTCCCTGAAGCAGGCAACAATGGGTGGCCCAGCGCGCTGGACATCCACCAGACTTAAGTGCTCGTTTTCCCCCACCTTTATTTAATTTTTTTATTTATGTTTCAAAATATTTTAAACGTATATATTATAAAAATCACTTTAAATTAAATTTCGAATAGATGTTAATGATGCATTTTTAAAATCTTACACATGTATAGAAATTTTGTATATGAAAAATGTGCAACGTGTATGAAAGAAATAGACATCAAAATATATATCTTAAAAAATGCTAAACCTGTATAAAACTATGTTTCTGATGTATAAAAAATATGTAAATGGCGTACGGAAAAATTATACACCAACATATGTTTTAAAATGTTAGTCATATATTTCAAGAATGTTGGATGTGTATAAAAATGTTCCTGGTGTATGGGAAAAATGTATGGTATGTATGGATTCTTTTTAAAAATTAGAACCAATGTTTGAAAAAAAAAAGGTTTAGGATGTACCTGGAAAATGTTAAACGTGTATAAGGATTTTTTTTCTGATGTATACAAAAATTGTACAATTTGTATGCAAAAATAGACATCAAAACGTATATATGAAAATTGTTAATCATGTACTTAAAAAATGTTGAACGTGTATAAGTAAAATGTTTCCAATGTATATGGAAAATGTCCATTTTTTATGAAAAAAGTAGACATCAAAACGTATATCTGGAAAAGGTTAATGATGCATTTGAAAAATGTTTAATGAGTATACAAAAAAAATTCTTATGGTATTCAAAAAATATATACTATGTATGAAAAAATGGACCTTAAAAAATATTTTTAAATGTCAATCATATATTTAAAAAGATAAGCATATATAATAACAAATATTTATAATCTGTATGAAAAATAAAGGAGACATTAAAACATATATTTGAAAAAAAAATTAATCTGGTATTTAAAAATTGCTAAACATGTATAAGAAATGTATCTAGTGTATACAAAAAACTGTAGACTTACATTAAGAAACCTGAAGAAAACGAAAATGAAGAAAAGGAAAAAGCTAGAAAGCGAAGGAAGAAACATAGAAAACAAAAGAAAAATTAATAAGAAAAACTGAAAAGGAAACAAATAAAACGAAAATAAAAACAAAAACAACAAAAAACAGAAGAAAACCCGGAAAACTATTGCAAAACAGCCCCAAACCATGCTACGGTACTGGGCCGGCGAGGGGAGCATACATCTCACAACAAGCCAGATATAGCTCCCACCGTAATTGTTATGTATCGCCCATACTGATATATAATAGGGCTCGCCCACAGTCGCTACAGTACCAGACCGGTCCATTTTTGCTTGTTCGCGCGTTTGTCCCGTTGCGCACTGTCGCGGGCACATTTGCTTCGCCGGTCGTGTTTTTTTTTGTTCAGTTTTATATGTTTATTTTATGGTTTTTATTTGTATCCTCCGGTTTTCTTTTATTTCCCTTTTTTTCTATGGGTTTCTTTGTTTTCTTTCATCGGTTTTCACCTATTTTCTCTGGTTTTATTTTTTATTCCATTTTCCTTTTTTAACACATTTCTACATTTTTCATACACATTGTACATTTTTCCTATGCGTTAGGAACATTTTTTAAACATGTTTAACATATTTTAAATACATGATTAACATTTTTATAATATATCTTTTGATGTCTAATTTTTTTTCATACACGTTGTATATTTTATTTTACATATAATATTTTTTATAAATGTTTCGTAATTTTTAAATACATTTTTACAAAAAAGTGCTTCGAACATTTTTTTAATGCATTTTGGAATTTTTTTAATGATAAAAACATGTTTTATTGAAAAAAATCTCAAGTTTTATACACGGCCCATAAGAAATTCCATACCAATTCGGCCAGCCGTCAAGCACGCGCTATTATTAGCCCACGAGAGCTCACAAACCTCTTCGGCCATTTCCCTCCTTCGCCTCCTTCTTCCTCTCCTTATCCACAATTTCCATACCAATCCACTCGGCCTTCCCCTCGCTACCACTCCGCCTGCTGCCGCGCCATGGCGCTCCACGCCGTCTCCCCTGCGGCGGCGGCCTCCCCGCCCTGCGCCCTCTCCTCTGCCCGTCTGCCCCAGCGCCCAGGTTGCTCCTCCTTCCTCCGCGCTTTCCCGCTTCGTTGAAACCCGCGAGTATCACCCGTATTCTGCTTTTATCATTCACGATACGGGTTGCGGCGTAGTAAGCACTGTAGCGCTAAGACGAACCCCAGGTCAGGAATGCGGTGGCATGCAAATGCCGGTGCTTTTATCGCTTCTCCGTTCACGGCACAACCTTTGCAGTTAGGTTGCTGTTTGCATCGAGCCAACATATAGAGAAACTAAGACTGAATCGGATTTGGAATGGCAAGCTCTATACTCCACTGTGCACTTGGATATGTAATTGAGAGTCATTTCAGCCTGCATTTCACGATACTTGTGGAAAATATGTACTACTAGTATTACTTTACTTGTGGTTTTGAGCTAATGTCTTCCCCAGGCTGTTGAAATACTAGTACGTATTTCTTTGCACTTAAATGGTTAGATATCAGGAAACCATTGACAGCTGTTATCCTTCACAATTCAGGGTCATTCAGAAGTGACCGAAGCCATTTATAAATCGATGTATCTCATGAAATTCATCACTGGATGTTTGCTGTTTGTCGTGGAAAACTGGTGAGATGGATGTAGTAGCTAATGTGGCTCCAAGTAACTAGTTTCTACTCCCTCGGAATTAGTTGACACTCAAACGGATGTATCTAGACGTATTTCAATGCTAGATGCATCTGTTTGAGCATCAACTAATTCCGGACTGAGGAAGTAGATAAGAGTAGACTGCCGTATTCACATAATTTCATCAGCAAGGAATAATGTGACAAGGCATCATCAGTCATCAGAGCATATTGCATTCAACATGTTGTGGTTCTTTCTCAGTACTGTTTCTACCTTATTGTAATTCCTACTAGTTTACCAAGCAACCAGAGTACATATTCCTACTAGAACTCAATGTTGGGCAAGGTCTCATCAGAGAATACTGTATTTCACAGGTTGTGGTTGTCTCTCAAACCGTTCATCCCTGTTAAGTTCGTCCACAAACTTCATGAAATTTCATTCTGGAGCAGTGGGTTTCTTTGGTGTGCCTTTGGTTCTTCAACACTCGGACAAGAGGCGAGTAGTTTTGCATTTAAATAATTCTTGTACTTGATGAGCTTCAAGTTAGTCTTCGTTAACTTGTGATTATCATGTATCAGAGCAGTTTTGAGGCATGCCACTAATGAAGAAATTGAGGAAGAAAAGATGATCGTTGAAGAACAAGCTGTAAATAACAATGCAACTCTGTATTAGAAGTGTTAATATTTGCCTTGTAAAGTCTTTTAGCATGTTGCTAACTAGCTGGCACTATGTATTGTCAGAAAGAAAAGATGGAGAAGGCCATTGAAACAGTTCAATCGAACTTCAATACCGTCAGGACTGGGCGGGCAAACCCGTCTATGCTCGACAGGATTGAGGTTTGATGATTTTTCCTTTTTTTTATATTCTGAAAGTAACAATTGCATGATAGCACCTGTCATTCCGTGTAATGTCCTTTCTGTATCTGTATAACAATTTAATTGGCTTACTCCATAACTAGGCTACGTGTGAACCAGTAGTTATTTCAGTAGGCTAATAGTTACCATTAAATTCTGAACTGATATCAGTGGAACAATGTGTGGTCAATACAATTCATTGATATTGTTTGGAAACAATTGAATTAGCGTATGCAATTATGGCTAAAGCACAAAGAGGTTACTGTGCAATGGTGAAGCTGCTCATATGGCGAATAATTCCTTGCAGGTTGAGTACTATGGAACTCCTGTAAACTTGAAGACTATTGCACAGATAAATACCCCAGATGCGACTTCTCTTCTTATCCAACCATATGACAAGTCTTGGTAAGCTATTTATCGTCCCCAGTTTAGGCATAGCTTGGTATTGCTTTGTACGTCCCGTGTTGTTGACATATATATACTGTGCAGCCTCAAGCTCATTGAGAAAGCTATAGTTGCTGCAAATATTGGGGTAACACCAAGCAATGATGGAGAAGTGATACGAGTCACTGTCCCACCATTGACATCTGACCGCAGAAAGGTTTGTGCATTACATTTCCAACCTCTTGTGCTTAAATTAGTAGTATTGTGCATTTAAATTCTGGCTCGTTTGGTCACACTTTTAGTTTGCATGATTGTGCCTATTTCTTCTTCCTTGTGTTAAAATTCAATTGGAAAATATGACAACAACAAATCCTAATATGCACACCATTTCTCGAATCATAATAGTAAGGAGACTTTAATAATTCATATCTGAGACCTAGACACACCAGCTAAGAGAAAAGATAACTCTTGTACTAAAATATGTTTCTGAAACTTATGTGATTCCCAAGTGACACCTTCACTGATTGTTAGCACCATAAAATACAACATTCTTTAACTCAAAGAAGATCAGAAATTGATTTGAACATGATGCGTAAAAAGGGCATGTTTTTTCTAGTGAACATTTTAGATGGATTATCTGGTAAGTGTTGCGTGCTGCTTAAGTGTAGTTGTTCAAGCATAGGAATTTTCTATAGCTTGATAACATGTCCAATCTATAGGTTTTGCACAGATAATAAAATTATTATACCTTTTTTCCCAATTAATCTTCTCTTTTTTCATGGGGCAGGAAATGACAAAAACCGTAGCCAAGTTATCTGAAGAAGGCAAGGTACAACCTCACCTTGGCACACATTATACATTCTTTTCAGCAGAATATTTATAATTATATTTATACCGGGGCTTAATTTTCTGTACAACGTTTTCATGCATTTTGTTTATGATTGGCCACCCTACTTGCACTATTTCAACAGTTTGAAGTATATCTGAAGCCTTTATGCATTTGCGGATAAGTTATTTTATCTCACCTTTACAAATTACTTCTGTTGTAATCGTGATGTACATTAGATAAAATTTAACAACAACCACGTATGAACTGTTGACGTTTCATGAAAGTTGTTAAATCACATGCTCTTTACTGTGTCTGTTACACATAAATTGGTGTATAGAAATGTTTTTTTCCGAACTTGGTAAAAGTCATGTCGATCTCTGTTCTTTTCTGCTGTTGTTCTAACATCTGTAGATGCTCATGCTTTAGTATATACAAGATGTTGAGTTGCACGATAATTTTCATGAAATATTGTGATTTCCTTCTCCTTAGTGGATCCTAATAAGAATGGGTGATAATTATGACTTTTTTTTCAGGTTGCTATCAGAAACATAAGACGAGATGCAATCAAAGCCTACGATAAGCTAGAGAAGGTTTGCTCTTCTCAGCTGGTACTAGTTCGGACTATTCTACCTTTGCCCTCAGATTAACAGCTCGCGCTTGTATACATAGGAAAAGAAACTTTCTGAAGATAATGTGAAGGATTTATCAGCCGATCTACAAGTGAGGATACACACTTCCATGCCCCCCTGTAGTTAGTATAACGATGCATTGGGGACTAAGACTAACTTCTTGTGCAAATTCTACAGAAAATCACAGACGAGTACATGAAAAAGGTTGAAGCCATCCAAAAGCAGAAGGAACAGGTACTTTAGTCCATAAGATGGTCCTGCTTATCTCTTCAATGCTACTCCTGTCTTAAGATAATTGGTTAATTTGACGCAACTAGTAAAAAATGGCTTCGCTTGATGCCAAAGGAGTTACTGTATTATTCATCATCGCTCGAGAACCATGGAAAAATAAACAAAAACTTATCGATTTCCCTTTTCAGGAGCTGAGCAAGGTTTAGATCCTGACCCGACTGAACAAAAACTGGTGAGTCGCATTTCGTCCTGTGAAGTACCTTGGCTATGTTAAAGAAACTGATTTATCAGCAACCAACACATTTGCTGGGTTATCACAGAACCGTGCTCCTAAAACGGCAGTCGTTTCATCAAATTAGCAGCTAACACGTGAATTTCTGCAGGCTACATGTTTTCTGAAGCCCTCCTCGTCATCGGATGGTTGCCACTGCGCTGGGATGCACTCATTGGGTTGTTGGAGTCTTGCTAAAACTGATGGATGCGAGTTCAGACAGTGCCGCTGCGTCCATCGTTTCCCTTTTGTAATTAGGCCTTCCCCGTCTTGCTGCCCGACTGCCATTGTCAATATTTCCATGAATTAAATTCTGTGATGTGCACTCTAAAAGTTCTTTTCACGTTTCGTTTGCTAATTATACACCCGGGGCCGGGCTCCACTACAATCGGGTGCCACAAATTGGGCAAGTTCTTTCCATGTTTCAGAGATTGAAACGAGGCTTTACTGTAACTTTTGACACGATATGCCGGCCACCGGCTGTAGCCAGTGTATCATGGGGTCCCGCGTGAAAATATCCACGCATCAGCGACGATGACTTGCAGGGCGACACGTCCCTTGTCGACAACGACCAGGCTGCGATAATTACGGACGCTGGTGCCGGCCCCACGGAAGGACGGGCCGGACTCGTGTGGCAGTGGTAGGGCCGGCCACCAATCGGCGGGTGGTCCCGGCGTACAGTACGTCCCATTCCTGTGCTCTCCACTAGGATCGAGTGATGGTAACTCCGGTAGGCAAAGTATTCATTGCCGGCATGGACCGGTAAGCATTTTGAATGCTGTGCTAGTGCTCGAGTAGGAGTGCTACTTCATGTGTCCGTCAGATATCACCTCAACGATAGGAGAAGCGGCAATTAGCAAATTATTACCACCATGCAGTTCGTTTTGTTCTCATGGCTGTTTTCCTTTTTGCAAGGCTAGGAAAATGATCCCCTTCAAAAAATGGAAAATGGCCATTCGATTAGACGGTGCTAATGTGTTGGAGTACTACTAGCATCGCTTCGGACAAGAAAAGGCGGAGGAGTGCGTGCGTGCGTTGGGCGCAGTCTAGGAAACACGTCAAATTCTCAGAGGCTTCAAGACTGAGGCCTCCTTTGGTTTAGAGGAATTTCATAGGAATTCTAGAGGATAGGATTCTTATAGGATTTTTTTCCTTTAGAGCCCTTTGGTTCATAGGAATGGATTCCTATTCCTACATAGGATTGGTTCCTATCCTCCACATTTCATAGGAAAATAAAAAAGAGCCTAGACTCAATGAAAAAATTCCTTTGGTGTCAACCAAATGACATCTTGTTTCCTATTCCTACTCATAGGATTTGAGATACATGTCATCTCATTTCCTACAAGATTCCTATTCCTATGATAATCCTATCCTATGAACCAAAAGAGGCCTGAAGCGGCGGAAAAGGATGCTCGAAAGTGGAACCGATCACCCAGGAGGAAATGCGCAGCAAGCAACCGACGAAGACAACATATATATAGGTCAAACTTTGAGGGGACAAGAAGGAGAACCCGGCGAAAGTTGGAAAGAGGCAGATCAGATCGACCGAACCGTTCAACCGAGGCAGACGGAGAATCAAAAACAAAACCAACAAGAACGCACCGGCCAGGGCGGAAATGGAAGGTAGCAAGTCGATGGCCGCTCCCCGCCGTCGTCATCTCGCTTCCGTCGCCGTTCTCCCGGGCAGCGGCAGCGCAGATCTCCACGGCACCCGACGGCGGTGACGATGGCGTAGGAGAGGAGAAAGAAAGCCGCCCTCGTCGCCGTGGTATTCCTCTGCTCTCCTCGTCTTTTCAGAGAGCGCGGCGCCCTCTGCCTTTGTACTGTCCCTTGGGTTGACTATACCATGCCGACTGCACATAACGTCAGCCACTGTAATCTGTGGAGGGTAGTACTAGTACTGGTGGACATGGGGAGGGGTGAAAAGGCTGGTGGGTCCCATGCTTCCGTGGCCCCAGCATCTGCTGTCTATTCATGCGGGCCCACCCCTGAAATATTTACTCGCCGAGTAGTGCAACGACAACCGGCCGATAGTGGGACCCGCGGCTTATCAAGACGTGGGACCCCCCTGGGGGAGCATATAGTAGCAGAACTATACGGACACGGCAGCGGGTCGGCGTGGCCCCACGCGTACGTGGACCCAGGTGGGCGCGGAAAGCAGATTGGACCGCGGTGCGGAGGGGCCCGCGGCTATCCCTGTCGCGATGAGATCTCGGGGCTCTCGACGTCGAGAGGCGAGCTGATCTGGACCGTGCACTCGTTCCGGCACCATCGCCGGCCACCGGAGACCGGACGATGTGGATTGGTCGATCGCGGAGAGGATATGGTAGCTGGGTACTCGTGTGTTCTGATTTTTGGTCAACAAAATAGTTTTCTTTTCTTTTACGCGGTCAATAAGATATTTTTCAACCCCCACCTCAAAAAACTCCAACTCCACAGATAAAAAACAAGATACATTTCAGATTGGCTAGAGATATTTTAAGATATCCGCTGGCATCCAAGCATGGAATGTGCAATGGATATAGAATAGAGAGTAAAGAATTCAAGTGCTCGGATTGCTCCATATAGTGATCTAAACTAATTTATATTTCTTTACAGAGGAACTACTTTAGAATTAACACACTATTATACATGTATTTTATTTGTCGGGTATTGAAAGATTTCACAATTGATGTATCTTGTTAGAAAAAAATAGTTTTTTTTTGTTTTAGTGATAAGAACTATATTTTAGATTAACATATGATAACTCTCTGTTTAGTGAAATAAATTGTCATGTTAGATATTATTTTCTTAGAGCAATCCGAGCACTCAGTTCGCTATCCTGGACTGCTCTAAGATAGCGAACGGAGCATTGGAAATGCCCTTTGTTCTTGGGTCACCAGATATGGGAAAAACAATAATTAAAAAAAATAGAAGTTTTTTGGAATAAACTCGACTTTTTTCTGCACAAGTACATAAATTTTTGTGATAAAAACTATCGTTGACTTTAGGGCAAAAAGTAAAATTTATTGCTATATAGAAGTCACTATTCACACTTTTTGGCCTATTTTTTTGTTTCTTTACTTGAAGTCAACGTTTTCTTTCTTTTGTGATTTTTTTTGTTGTGAGTAAAATGGAAGGCCAAGTTTATTTCAAAAATATTTTTAGAATTTTTTTACTTTTTATTGAATTCCATTTTTTTCACATAGGATGTATATACACCCAGGAACCAAATGTTCTTATCCACTCGTCGTTCCGATAGCTATGTTCGTTATGGTAGAATCAACCCACCAAGGTTCAAGTCTCATATTTGGCACTGGTGCTCGCTTTTTTTGGAATTACCTTATTTTTTTAGCGATGCTTGTGTAGTACAAGGAGACATCCCCGTTTGACTACAGGGCATGTTTGGTGACTTCGTCAATCTCAAAATATTGTGTCAACTTAGTATCTCGGCGGTGCTGATAGGGATAGGGTGTGCGTCCGTCCGTTCAGAGGGGTGAGTGTATGTGCGTATATGTGAGCATCATGTATGTGTGTATATGTGAGCATCCAGCGAACAGACGGTCGTGCTCCGCCTCGCTGACGTGGAGCCGCCATCGCTTGCGGCGGATGGCACGGGAAGTTTTCACGGATTCGTACAACGCTCGTTGCTCATTTAGTATGCCCAGATTCTCCGTGACCATAGCCACGATGGCCCCCTTGTTCGCCTACTCGCTGACGATCTCGCCCTCCGAGCTGGTGCTGCTCGAGGAGTTGCAGGTTGTACCGCTGCTCCTCTTGCAACATCCGAAACACGGAGACCGGCGTCATCGTGTACTCCTCCTGCGGCACATCCGCCATGACATTTTGAAGTGTGCTTGCCCTATGGTGAACCCGGCGACTAGTGTGGGTGCCTGTTCCTAATCGGACGCCTCATCCATCGTCCGGTCCTCGTCATCCAAGCTCTCCTCCAGCGAGCTTGGAGGTAGTCCTGCCTCTATGCGTTGCACGCGTCGGGCTTGCGAGTCGTGCAAAAGGTCCACGATCTCATGTCGGCGCCACGTGGAGAACCTCTTCCTGAAGGAAATATGCCCTAGAGGCAATAATAAAGTTATTATTCATTTCCTTATATCATGATAAATGTTTATTATTCATGCTAGAATTGTATTAACCGGAAACATAATACATGTGTGAATACATGGACAAACAGAGTGTCACTAGTATGCTTCTACTTGACTAGCTCGTTGATCAAAGATGGTTATGTTTCCTAACCATAGACATGAGTTGTCATTTGATTAACGGGATCACATCATTAGGAGAATGATGTGATTGACTTGACCCATTCCGTTAACATGGCACTTGATCGTTTAGTTTGTTGCTATTGCTTTCTTCATGACTTATACATGTTCCTATGACTATGAGATTATGCAACTCCCGTTTACCGAAGGAACACTTTGTGTGCTATCAAACGTCACAACGTAACTGGGTCATTATAAAGGTGCTCTACAGGTGTCTCCGAAGGTACTTGTTGGGTTGACGTATTTCGAGATTAGGATTTCTCACTCCGATTGTCGGAGAGGTATCTCTGGGCCCTCTCGGTAATGCACATCACTTAAAGCCTTGCAAGCATTGCAGCTAATGAGTTAGTTGCAGACTGATGTATTACAGAACGAGTAAAGAGACTTGCCGGTAACGAGATTGAACTAGGTATTAAGATACCGACGATCGAATCTCGGGCAAGTAACATACCGATGACAAAGGGAACAATGTATGTTGTTATGCGGTCTGACCGATAAAGATCTTCGTAGAATATGTAGGAGCCAATATGAGCATCCAAGTTCCGATATTGGTTATTGACCAGAGACGTGTCTCGGTCATGTCTACATTGTTCTCGAACCCGTAGGGTCCGCACGCTTAACGTTACGACGACAGTTTCATTATGAGTTTATATGTTTTGATGTACCGAAGGTTGTTCGG